GTTTGAGCTGTTTCGCAATGCCGCAGCGCCGACCCCAGGGGAGCTCTTGCCACATGCCTCCGGTCGAGCCATGCGCCCCATCGAGGAGCGGGGCCGCTGGGATCCGCCCAGAGGCTAAGACGAGGCGGCTGTCGACTCCCAGGCAGCAGCCACTGACGAGGAGTTGCTCAGGAGTTGCTCAGTGCCTACTGCGAGTCCTTAGGCCTGGCTCCAAGTCCAGGACTGGGGCGGCGCCGCCAGCGGGCACGCCGATGGCGCGGAGGACATCGCGTTCGCCAGCTCGGCCGTCTGCGTCGGCAGCTGAAACCTTCTGTCCCCCATGGGCGTCGCGGTCAAGCTGAGCAGTCTTAACCCCGAGGAGCGAGAGCAGTTCAAGGCATCAGATGGAGCTGAGTGGGTCGCGCAGCATCGCCCAGGTGTCCGACGAGTGCTGTCCTTCGCCGACTGTGAGCGCGTGATCAGGACCAAGCCCGACAGGGTTTCATCGTCGAGAGTGGTCCGACACCGGAATGGCCAGGAGGGCACCTTCAGTGCCAAGAAGGCCAAGGGCCGCCGGTGTGTTCATGGGTTCCGCGATCCAGACACGGAGAGGCTGACCGCCTAGTCCCCGACGCCCCAGTCGGAGTCCATGCTAACCTTCGCCATGGTTTTGCTGTCCTGCGACATGGAGCAGGCAACGGTGGACTGCAAGAACGCCTTCGGCCAGTCCCGACCGCTGAGGCGATCGGTCGGCCCGATCCACGCGGCCTACTGCGTGGCCATCGTGGGGGCGCGCGATCCCGAGGGCTATTTGATCGAGCTCGAGGTGGCTGCGCGGCGCGGACTAGACGACGCCCCCTGCGAGCGGCACGTGACTCGCACGTCTTCCCAATTCGACCTTGGCTTTCGCAAGTCTCTGCTGGGGCCGCGCTGCCGGGCGGAGCGCGAGGGGGGGCAGTTGGTGGCCCAGGTGCTGACCGAGATCGATGATTTGCGGCTCGGCTCCGTCGGAAGTGCGAGAGCCCCCTGTGTCGCTTCGCCTCCGGCAAGTGGCGCGGGTCGCTTCGCCTGCGGTAAGTGGCGCGGGGCGAGGCCGAATTCGCTGGCGCGCGAGCGCGCGAGGATCGCCGCCGCATTCGCGTTGACCAGGGGAAGTACAGATTGCAGGAGCTCAAGACAGTTCCTCTCGACCGCGGACGCAGATCCCAGAGATGGGTGACTCCTGCGAAGTTCGCCCCCCCCCCCCCCCCCCCCCCCCCCCCTTCAAACTCTGGAGCTCGTCGGCTGAACGTTTGCCGAGGAGGCGCGGCCAGATGTCGCATGGGCGGTCTCCATTCCAGCGAGCAATCCGAATAATGCCACCATCGAGGGCGTCGTACAACACAACCAAGCTGCGCAGCTAATCCGCGGCACTGCGGCCCAGTGCCTCACAATTGGGAATCGAGACCTCCGTGCCAGACAGTGCATGACTGCCAGTGATGCCACCGGCGCCGACTCTGCGGGCCTCGCGTAGATTGCCTGGCTTGCCGGGGTGCCTGATCCACAGCCCGCTGACGGCATGCCTACTTGTGCCTCAGTGCTCTCTTGGAGATCTTCTAGGGTGAAGCGCGCAGCCACTTGTTCACTTGCACGCGAGGCATTTGTTGTGCCAGGTTGTCGCCGAAGCCGAGTGGATTCAGCCGTCGCTTCGTATTGTTCGCTTTGGAGAGGAGCCGTCATCCGACTGGCGTTAGAACGTCGGTCTTTGTGTGTATGTTTTGCGTAGCTCGTGCGAGCTTCAGAATCCATGTACCTGTCGTGCATGCCCCAGAGGCAATTCCATCTTCGATGCGTTTCCAAGAACCTTGCAGGGCGTGGGGAAGAACACCGCGCGTCGGTTGGTCTTGCCATCGTTAGGGGCTCGTGCTCAGCTCGCAACTCGCATGCCCGGCGTTTGCCGCGCCCTTTGAATCCCACGGATACTATGACCAAGGCCGACGTGGCAAAGGGCCCAGAGGCTCTTGCCCATCTATTCAGGATTGAGAGTTTGGAGGAGCGCAGTGCCCTGGCCACCAAGGGTGCCAAGCAGCGCCGGAGCAAGGAGACCAGTCGGCAATGCCCCGCGGCCAGGGGCCCCCGTTCGCAGCCTACAGTCAGTTCGACAATTTTTTCGGGGAGCTGTTGGTGCACGATCCTGCGCCCTCTATCTGTCTGCCTTGCATGCGTGACCTCGGCGACCATGGCTACTGTGGCGCAAGGTCTTGTTTTCAAATTTGCAGTGAAAAGCTGATCGCGCAGAGCTTCGCGATTGTCCACCCGACCCCCGCGCGCCAACAATCAAGGCATCGCGGCTCCCTGGGCGGCCGCGAGGTCGCGACCGTCGCCAGTTTCGCGAGCTCCGGGGAGGTCGCGCGGAGTGGAGTTGCACGGGGACGCAGCTGAGACCTCGCGGCTCCCTGGGCGGTTGAGATGCGCGCGACCGTCGCTACTTTCGCGGGCCCGCGGGAGGTCCAGCGGAAAGGGTTACAGGGGGATTTATTTAGGACCTCGCGGCCCCCATGGGTGGCCGCCAAGTGTGGAACTGTAGTCGCTTTCGTAAGCTCTTGGGAGGTCCAGCGGAGTGGAGTGGCATGAGGACCCCGTCGAGACCTCGCGGCCCCCTCGAGGGGCTGCCGAGTGCGCAGCGGCTGCCACTTTCGCGAATTCCAGGCGGGGGAGTCTGGCGAAGCTTGTAGCCGCGCAGATCCCGTCGAGACCTCGCGGCTCATTGGGGGGATAGGCTCCGAAGCGCGCAACTTTCATCACGTTCGCGGACTGGCCGCGGTGTCAGTGGAGTTCGAGGGAGTTGTCGCCTGCGCCTGTTTGCCGCGGGCGCCGACCGGAGATGCAATTTACGGCGTCTATTCGCGTCCGAAATAGCAAGGGTTCTCTGGGGGGCGGCGATGTCCCGTTACGCAGCGCTCGGATCTGTCGCATCGCAGCTCGCGGGGTACCGCTGCCCCACGCAGCGCGTGGCGTTGTTTTTTGTCCGCGTGGCCTCCCATCCTCAGCTGCCTGCGGCCCGCCGTGCCACCCCGCGCGCTTGCTTCGCTCAGCGTGACGCGCTGTTCTGCTATAGCATGGCGTTGTTCGGCCCCGCGTATGTAGCGATCGTCGCTTTTGCTGTTACGGAGCATGTATGCCCCCCTCGTCACCATCATGAGTATGTTTATGTTTCCGTTCCTATATTGTCGTTATTGCCGGTTTCTGTGTTCTTTGAACGAAAATGCGCCTTGCGTTTCCTACAGCATGTCGGTTCGTGCTGAGCGGTCCGAGAAATATTCGCCAAATGTTTGGAACAAAGTTTGGGTACGTCATCCATGAAGTTAAGCCAATGTCGCGATTTCTTGGATTCACGGAGGGGGGGGATGGGCAAACACACTGCAGGTATATATTGGGTTCCTTTGGGGCGTCGCGCCGCTGGACCTCCCAGCGGCTCACGAATGCGACGATGTTGCGCAAAAAGGCGCCGCCCAAGGAGGCGACATCTAGCTTGGACCCCTTGGAGGGGTCACTCCGCTGGTCTTCCCCAGAGAATGAGCGTGGGGCCACTTGCGCAGCCGCCAGCGCCCAGGCAGGCGAGGTGTAGTTCTGGTTGCTCAGAGAGGCCCGTTTGTTGAATACCCCACGCATGGACGAACATGGCAAACGCTGGTGTCACCGCTGAGGGTGGCGAGATAGGGTGCAGACCAGAGGCTGGTACGATGTAGGAGGCAAGAGGAGGGAATCAGGAGGACGAAGGAGACGAGGAGGGATCATGAGGAAACGGAGGAGGTTGGTAATTTCAACAAGGACCCGACACATGAGTGTTTGTAACGCGCGCTCCCCAGACCATGTTGTGAATTTGGGATATCTTGTAACACGCCGCTGCGCCGAGTTCCTCATCTGTTTCACTGTTTGGTTGGCACTGTGTCATTTGCGAACACGCTGGCGGACTTACGAACAACGACGACTATGAGGAAGAGATCGAAGCCGTAAGTACCCGTACAGAAGTTTCATCGGATATGGTTGGCCATTTGATTCGTCAGTTGGGCAGCCACCGATGAAATGCGGCCGCGCGGAAGACTAGGGAGGCACGTGAGCAATATCAATATGCGTTCTAGTCCCCGCGCGGGTTGTTTGGGTTTGCCTCTGAAAATGTTTTGGCCGATTTCACTATATGTGTTTGACGCTCTTGAACTGTAGCGAAGGTGGGTGGGTTCCGAAGAGTGGGCCCCACGCGACGTGGCGTTGTTGGTATCACTTGTGTGTTGGCCACGTCTCGTAGCATTCAGTGGAATAGTGAGGAAGGGAGAACGGGAGCGATAGAAGTTTGGTGGTACGCGTTGCCGTCGCTGTCCACTTGTGTTGTGCACGCTTGATTTGTGGTATGATCGGGTGCAGACGTGGCGCCTTGGGATGCCGAGCATGGCGTACAAAAGAAGGGGCCCCCTTTCCTCTTCAGGTTCATGTTCAAACCTCTGATGACTCCAACGAATCGCACCGTGGGCTGAACCGGGTTGTCGTAATCTGCTGCATTGTTCGGCGTCCAGGACCTGGTCCTTGCCCTTGGTAGAGCCGCCGCTCCTGGGCCCTGGGGACGCCAAACACGTTTCAGGATTCAGCAGTCGACAGCCTCCGGGGCTGGCGACTCGAAAAATACAAGTGTTCCTGTGTTCATCAGGATGTCACGAGTCGGACTACCGTCCCGTTGCTCGCCCGTGGAATCTTTCTTGTCGCTAACTTCTTCGTTGGCGTCCTCGTTGGGATGGGATGGGGCATGCGATGACCTGATAATGGTGGGTGCATGTTGACGTCAGCTGGTGAGGGTGTTGCTCTGTTGGGGCCGTCTGATTGCTACCCACTTCGGCAGCCTGGCACATCCATCGGCCAAAGCAGCCATGGAAGTCTGAGCTGTGTCTTACAAGGGCGGACGGGCTGATGCATTCCAGCAAGGGATCTGATTCGGGGGTCTGATGGTTGTTCTCCACATGTTCATGGCGTCTCCTTCCCTCCACACAGAGGCCGAGACGAGTCTGAGCCAGGTGTTTGAACGGCGCGGCATTCGGCAAGAGATCAAAGCCCTGAGGCGCGTCGAGGTAGGAAAGTGACCGTCGGCTGGCGTGCTCATCCCTCTGGCGGACCCGCTCGTGTCTTCCCGCTGCCCCCCCTTGCCAGTTCTCCGCGTTCCTTTCCTACTGCTCATCTTCTTGCTCCTCCTCTCTTTCCTGTGCTTCTTATCCCCTTCATCATCCTCTACCTTTTCTCCATACCCTTCACATCGATATTTTATAGGATGTGAGGTCTACTCTCCCCTCGCCCGATTTACCTGGTCCTGCTTCTGGGTCCTGCAAGTCAATGCCACATGATGTTCCAGGTACGCACGAAACAAACAATACGAACGCTCAGTGACAAACCTGGTGAGAGAGCAAGCGTTCGCCTTCCTCCTTCAGCACGTATGTTCTCCGGCCCTCCGCTTTCACCTGCCGCGCTGCCTTGGTTGTCGGCGGCCTGCGACGCAGGCATCGCCCCCTGTCTTCCGTGTCCGAGGGCAGCGCGAAGAAACATTCGCGGATGGGAGAGGTGGGGCATTTCTGTCTCGTTTGTTTTCTCCTTTGCTTCCTCCTGTTTCTCCTGTGCCGTTTGGAGGGGGGTCCAGCGGCGATCCAGGGAATTCTCGCGGACCTCCCATGTTCTAAACATGTGTTTGCAGTTGTTTCTTCCATTTGGAGCCCTACTTTCTCAATCCAGACATGCGGCCTGATCTGCCGTCCCTATATTCACGCGACCAAGCGATTAAGACATGTCCAGGGGGGGGGGTCGCAGCGCTCCATTGGGAAGTGAACGACTAATTCGAAATTCCGGGTTCGTCGTGGTCGTCGTCAGGGCTCCCAGGCAGCAGCCAGCGACCCAGACTAAAAGTTTCGATGTTCAATTTGTCCTTGCCAGACTATGGTTCAACCGCTTGATCGCATTACTCCGACCCCATCTGGGCGACATCCAAGGGCGGGAGCAGCGGCGGGCCCGCAGGGGGAGACTCGCGCGCAGATCTGGCAATCGAAGGGTGTTCAGTCAATCGGGCTTGTCTTGGGGCCGTCCTGGGGCCTTCCTGGGTGCCGTTTGGGCCCTCTCGGGGCTGTAGTGGAATCCCTCATGAGGTCTCGAGACCGTCTGTGGTTGGGTTGGGGCGGTCTCGAGGCGGTCTTGGGACCTTGGAGGCCAGGTGGGAGCTTCTGGGCCATCTTCGGGCCAGCCTGGGGCGCCTCTGATCTATGACAAAAGCGCTTTTCCGTTTGCGCTTGTGCAGGGAGGGGAGATGGGTACCCTCTCCTCCCCGCCCCTCCCCGCGAAAGCGGGGGAGTGGGGGTTCCGTGCCCCCCACTCCCTGGCGCAAAAGAGGATGGAAGTTTGCGGACCCTTGCCCTTCTTCGCCGCCGGCAGACGGCGACGGAGGCGAATAGTGGGGGTCCAGAACCCCCCTCTCCCCCTTGCCGCGGGGTTGGTGTTTCGAGACCCATTGTTTGTTCGGTAGTGTTTCTAGGCAGGCGAATTTGAAATGCGATTGTCGTTTAGATAGCATTGCGCCGAAGCTTTGACGCTTATGACAGTATGCGGCTCACCAGGTGAGGCCGTACGTTGGCCTCGGCACCCCACGCGTATCTCAAAGTGGTCGGCATTTGTGGATGGCATTCTATTTCATTTAGGTATCCGTCAGCGTCGCCGCCTCATGAGGTCGTCTCCAAAGAGCGTCGTCCATGCCCTTTGTAGGAGCGATGCAGTTCCCACGAATCTACTCCTGCCGCATCCTGCGGACTCCATCGTGGGATCTCGAATACCTGACCTCATGCTTTCATCACCTTCATGATGAGGGTCCTCATCCTCAAAATCCCCACCTCCGAAACCTGAACTGAACCTGCTCAAAATCCCCACCCGAATCCTCTTCCGCTGAACTTGATCCTGGGAATCCGTTCTCTGTAAGCATCTTCGATATTCTTGGCTCGAGCATCCATGAAACCTGAAGGGGGCTTTACTTCAGCTGCTACATGCACTCCCTACTTTCCGAGGTCGTGACCCATGCGTAGTTTATCCAATTGTTTGCAGCAAGTTCCGCCACAGTGCCAGCGCAGCAATATGTGGGGCGACGCTTCGAGCACCGCTCAGCTCAGCAGAAGGCCGTAGGCTTTGACACCTTTGGTCTCTACTGGTCGAGGGGCTCTGATGGGGCTTAGCGGCTTACCTGGGCCGTCTTGCGGTTGTCTTGGGCTCCTGTGTGGCCGTCTGGGGGCCCTCGTTGGATTTCCTTGGGCCGTCTTGGGGCTCACTTGTGCCGTCTTGGCACAGTCTGAGGAGGCCATCTGTGAACATTTGAGGCCAGGGGGTTGTGGAGCACCTCTGTGTTCCAAGGAGGTTTCGTAGTCTTCCCCCTTCTCTTCATAATTCGCATTCTCTTTTGTTGTTCTCTCTCTCTCTGCCTCTCCCTCTCCCTCTCTCACTCTTTCTCTCTCTCTCTCTCTCGTGCTCTCTCTCTCTCTCTCTTTCTCTCTCTCTCTCTCTCTTTATGTCTCTCTCTCTCTCTCTGGATATTATGTTTATCTATTGGGTTGTCTCTCACTCTCTCTCTCTCTCTCTCTCTCTCTCTCTCTCTCTCTCTCTCTCTCTCTCTCTCTCTCTCCTCCCCTTCTTAAGCTGCGCCGCCATTTTGCCAGCATCCTCACTTGGCAGTTCAGCCTGCGATTCGTTTGTCAGAATTGCCTGCTCCGCCCTGGTGAACCCTGACACGCCCTGGAAATATCTGCCACGCCTTGCTAAGTTTTCGCAACCCCTGGTAAGCGATCATTATTGTCTAAGCCGTGCCCAGTCTTACTCAGCTCTGCCAAGCTCTGGTGGTCCCTGCAACACTCTAGGAAGCCTTGGTCAGCCCTGCTAAACTTTGCGGAGCCCTCCCAAGGTTTTCTCAGCCCTGCTAATCCCTGCTACTCCGGGCTAAACCCTCGTGAGTTTTGACAAGCCCTGCTGAGCCCTGGGCCTTGCTCTGCCTCGGCACGTTTTGCGAAGCCTTGCTAGTCCTTGCCAAGCCTTACCCACTGCTGAGCTTTGCCGAGCCCTGCTAGGCCCTGCTAGTTTCTGGTAAGCTTTGCTTAGCCTAGGTAAGCCTGCGAAGGTCTTGCAAACCTGGCTAGGCTGTGTTGTGCCTGCTAAGCGCTAAGCACTGCTGAGCCCTGGCATGTCTCGGTACGCCCTGCTGAGCTCTGTCAAGCTATGATATGCTCTTGTATGCGTTGCTGGGCATTGATCTGTGTGGTAATCATTGCTAAGCCAAGCTACGCTTGGCAAGCCCTGCTAAGCCTTGCTGTGCCTTGATCAGCCAGGGCATGCTTTGCTAAGCCCTGCTGGCCCTTGCGGTGTTCCAAGCATTGTTGAGCATTGCTGAGCCCAGGCAAGTCCTGCTTCAAACCTGGCCAGCCTGGCTAAGCCTTGACTGAGCCTTGGCAAAGCCTGCGAAGGACTTGCAAATCTTGTGAAGCTGTACTGAGCCTGCTAAACATTGTTGCCCCCCCCTGGCAAGATCAGTAAATACGCTCCTCTCCGCCTCATCTTCTGGTTGCTTTTCACACCACTTGCTTTGCTGCGCAATGCGTGACTATCTGTAGCTGTATTGTACTCAAGCTACGCGCGAGCGTACAGGAGATAAAAGGAGCGCGCCCGCCCTCGGCCGTCGCACTTCGTCGGTTGTCGGCCAGCCGGCCTCCTCCCTTACTATTCCTGATAGAGTACATTCGCTTACCGGATACTTGTCTTATCGATGTCTCGTCCGGTACCCTCTACCGCTGAGCGGAGTGAACACGAGATCTTAATTCCTTTGTCATCTTATCCAGATTCTCAGAGGGAAGAATGGTTATCGGCCGAAAGCCGCGACATAGTCGATGCGGGTTTATATCAGCAAGGAGTCTGGTCTTCTGATGAACCCTGCGACTTAGTCGCTGCGGGTATGAGCTGTGATAAGACAGATGGAATGTCCGTCACTTCGCGAAACGCTGAACAGCAAGTTGTACAACATGACGGACATGACCTACAGGAGAGCGGCCCGGGGCAGGGCCGCCTTCCCTCTTCTAGTGCCGCCACTCGGGTCTGTCGGGGTAGAAGTAGTGAAGAAGTTGTTGAGATGTCGGAAGAGGCCTCTCCCTCTGGAGTTCCGATGGGCAATCGCGAACAAACCCCAGACCCGCATGGGCGGAATGGCGTAACAGCGAGATCCAGACGAGGAGCATTCTCGTTTCTGATCGCCGAATCGTCGGATCCGATCAGTCCTATTCCGATTGCTGCACATACATTCGTACCAGTCGCTGGTGAAGCCAGTGAGTCGGGAGAGGCTCCTGCTTCCACGGGCGCATGCCCCGACGTCCCAGGCGGGTGGGGAAGCGCGAGTGGAATTCTTCCCATCCCGATAGCATTCAACGGACAGTTCGGACAAGATAGTGATGAGCCAATCGATAAAGAGCATGAAATAAATTCTATGGAGGAAGATTTTGAATATGCCAACAAAGGAGTTTCCTTGAGCCGAGAATTGCCCTCGCTAATGGATGCAGACCACCCCGCCCAAGGCGAGAAGTGGCCTCCGGATGGTTCAGATGAAGATACAAGCGACCTGGTGCCTCAGGCGGACAAGGCTGAGATCGACCATCAATATCAGGCGAAGCACGATAGGGGGACTACAGGACGGACTCCTGCGCCTCAACTCAAGAGGCAGAGGAACGAGGATTACGATTGAAACGACTCACCGCTTAAATAAGGTTTCTATCGTTCAGCCGTCGCCTCAGGCGATTGGCAACCCTCGATACCGCCTGTTGTTGAGGATGAAGAAATGATTGAACAACCAGTTTCGTACACTGAGCTTATAAGACAGGATGAAAGGGATGAGGAGCTTCGAGAGGTGCCGAAACCTCCAGAATGTACGCATGTGCGTCCTCGATCGAACGCTTCGAGTAGGGGGAGGCCCAACATGCCGAGATCAGGGGCGCGATCTGCTTCCAGGAGCAACAGCGCTATATCCATGCTTGATACATGCTGGAACTGGAACTTTGACTGCGCGCCTCAGGCGGAGAGCAGATGC